ATATGTGTATATGTATATATATATATGTATATGTATATATATATATATATATATATATCAAGCTTGCGCCCTAAGTGTGTGCATAGTGTTTGTCATCGTGTGCGTGCATGTGTGAGAGCGCTGTCACCACGTTGGGATGAAAGAATATTTTTGTTGGCTCGCTGTACTGTGACAATATCAGCTACATTTTTATTAACGCTTCTATCGTAATTCTCACAGGCTGACTGCAGTAGCGATGGCGATGACGATGACGTTGACGACGGCGATAGCAGCCAAAACGCCGTAACCATCACCGGTGACATCACTGCTGACGTCATTCCCGAGAGATGCGCGAAAACCTATGACGTCACTTCCGACACGTCATTCAGCGCATGCGTGAAATCGATCGGAGATTCCCGTGAATCCCTCCGCAGAGCTCCCCGCTCAGGAGCACCGACCGCAGACGAACCCGACGACGACAGTGACGGCGGCGACGATGACGATGGCGAGCGGAGGAGCAGCGACGACGATGAGATGGCGGCGGCGGTGCACGCGGAGAGAGAGAAGATTCTGTCGGCTCTCCGTCCGTCGAGAGTCGTGGCGCTCTCTTTCCTCTATCGGCGCATGCGCACTCAGCTCGATCAGGGACTGAACAGCATCGAGTGTGCATGCAGCTGCAGCAGCAACGCGCGCGTGATACTCAGGGTTCATCTTCAGCTTCCCGCCTCATCAACGCGTTGTCATTAACCGATGAATTAATTATTAATTATCGTCACTTAATAACCATACATCCGTCTCATTAAGTTCTTTTGCTTTTTGCTTTTATTATAATGTTTAGAGCTCCGTGAGGCGTGACGTCATGTCGTAGAGTAACGGAGAGATGTTATTTACATATACTTACAATAACGTGTTGATTATCATCGCACCTATGGTAATGATAGTCAGAAACATTTCTGTTTTTCTTAAAATTATGGACCATCACGAAATTAAGTCAAAATTAAAAGATAACAATATCTCGATAATAAATACAACCTCGCTGTAAAGTTCGTTGTTTTTTTTGCTGTTTTTGTCGACCGTTATTATTTCACCAGGTCCTGGTATTATTCGACAGTAGAACGTTGTCGTAACGTTGTAAAGCTACAGACACGATCTCCCAACACAGTCTGTCAAACTAAATACCGTAAAATGACGGAATGTTTTTATACCTATATCTTACATAGCAATATCCTACTAAATTGCATGAATTTCATGTATGCGCGAAATGTGTTGTGGCAAAAATTTCTATTACGTTTTATGACTGTAAATTTAGGATCATTTACTATTTTTCGTTTCATTATCATTTATTTTACATAGTAATTAACACATTACGCGTGTTTAACTATCACAAATGTAAGCCGATGACGTATTAACAAACTAGAAAGATATCACTCATTATGACTCAGCCTAGGTGTTAAAAAGTAAGGCTGACGCAAGGTCGACATAACGCTGACGCACGGCTGACGTAAGGCTGACGTGAGTCTGAAGTAATGATGACGCTGATGTGATTGTTTGCTGATGCAACGCTTGCATGACGCTGACGTCATTCTGATACGAGACTGGCATGGCGCTGACGTTACTATAACCTCATGCTGACGCGCCGAATTTATAGTAACGAACTACAAATCACATCAAAACAAAGTTATTCGAAAAATAAACGTATATATTTATACGCATTTAATAATTAGTACCGAAATAGCTAACGGTTGCTTTTGCACAGTTGTCATCATATACGCGCGCGCGAGAAAGAGAAAAACAGAGAGTAAGAGAGAAAGAAAGAGCGAGAGAGAGAGAGAGAGTGAATTGGAGAAAAAAAAGAGAAAAAAACTCTGCCAGGTATTATGAGCCGCTGCTAATAACAATAATAATTCTAGAAACTACAATCAGTAATGGGGCAACAGACATTTAAAACGCACGACGATCTTAATTCAATTACGACAAGCACGCGCGGATGATTTGCCTCGGAAATCAAAAGAACACGGGCTCATAGGATACATGATCTTAGTTTATATAATATACAACTCTATTATATTTACTAATCACTCTCCCTCATGTACTTTTTAAGCGAAGAAAATAGTCGAGATATTTCGTCCTCGCCGTCTCTCTTCGGTTTGCCGTTCTTCGCTGTAAAAAGAAGAGAGATAGATCGTTGTTGGGGAGTGGATTTTCTGTCTATTTGATCAACATTGTCTCTGTCCGTCTCGAAATGGTCTATTGGAATTTGAAGGCTAATATTTATGAAGTTATGAGGATGAGAACGCCAGCGAATTGTGAGTCCGTGTGTCGGCTGCGTGGGTGCTTCTGTGTATGTGTGTGTGTGTGTGTGTGTGTGTGTGTGTGTGTGTGGTGTGGTTGTAGTGTGCGCGTGCGCGCGCTGCGCTGTGATCGTGTGTGTGGCGCGGCGTTTTGTGTGTATGTGCTTGTGTGTGTGTGTGTGTGCTGTGTGGTGTGTGTGCGTGCGTAGGTGTTGTGTCGTGTGTGGCGTGTGGTTGTGTGTGTGCTTGGTGTGACATGTGGTGTGTGTGTTGGAAGCGCTGCAGCGTGTGGTCGTCGTGTGTGTGTGTGTGTGTGTGTCGTGTGTGTGTAGGCAAGTTTTCAGCTGAACCATGTCGGTCATCTGCACCGCCATATTTTGCCTTAATTTCGCTATCAAGCACGATGCAAGTTCGCTGACCGCCGCTAACCTGATTACACGTTGACCTGACGCGGACGACTGTGGTGATGGAGCGAGCCGGCCCGGTAGCAGAACAGTACACACACACGTATACACGCACGCGCGTACACACGCAGGCCACGCGCACACACACACATGCAGCATAGTGTACGCCCGCACGCATGCACAGGCTGCGCACACCACAGACACACACACAGCAAAACACCCACACACTCACACACACATACACACACCACCATCACACACACCACACACACACAACAACACAAACACACACACTCACTCACACAGACCACGCATGCGCGTGTACGCCCGCCCGCACGCCACGCGCGCACACATACAGACACACACACACTCACACAACATCTGTCGCGTAAGAACATGATGCCGTACGCGTAATGACATCGCACATCGACCGGAATGTCTCCACACCATCCCGTTTGAATTACGGTAATTTTTCACTTCCTTTATCGATCAGGCTGTCATCCGTCCATCACTGTCAATAACTGCTCAATAATTGACGACGGGTGCCCATCATATTGTGACAGAGAATATTCGAGAAGGTGCGAATGTCATCAACGAGTTGTTGACGCCTGCGATTTCGCATAAATTTTAAAACAGGGGGCTCATGAACTGTTGGTTATCATGCCGACAGGATTTTCACACAATTAACTAACACGCAACATGCCAGGGTGATATTCGACGACATTTATCTGTTCAACGTCTCGTGTTTCTACGGTTTTTTTTTATCAAACGACCGAAAAATAATTGCTGAAACCCCCGAACGATACGGTAGATTCACGCGTGGGTGGGTGATGTGTGCTTTGTAAATGATGAAACAGCAAGCATGCACAAAACACGGCCGCCTACGCAAGGACACATGCGCGCACACACGCCAAGCGGAGTGGGAGGAAGGGAGAGATATAGAGAGAAAGGGGAAATGGCGTGCGGGAGAGAGGGAGAAATTGTGCGCGAATGAGAGCGTGGTAAAGTGAGAGCGCGCGAGAAAAAGGGAAGAGAAAGATAGGATACCGAGAAAGTGAAGGCGAAGCGAGAGAGAGAGAGAGAGAGAGAGAGAGAGAGAGAGAGAGAAAGAGACGAGAGAAGAGGGGAGGAGAAGAGACGACCTACGAGCGTTGGAGAAAGAAGAGAGAGTTGTAGAAATATGCTGTAGAATTGCAGCCAGTTGCATGAGAACTGTTAAGAAATCTATCTCATCAATAACTGAGCTGAGAGGTTAGCCCCCAGCGGTACTGCCGGAAAGTACCCTAGGGTACGTCGGTATACCGTAACGTACCCTGGTGAATATCTACATAGTTGCGACCGTACCTCGCTACTATTCCAATAAGTCTAAGGGAGTCGCCACGCCTACTCCCCTAAAACCCTACGCCTACCCTAGACCCTAACTAGACCATAGGCTCCCCTGATCAGAATAGTTACCAGGGAACCGTTCCGGTCATACTCGGAGGAGTCGCTACGCACTCTCCTAACCCTAACCCATAACTCTAACCATATGCAATAGTTACAGAGGTTACCTTCCGGTACCGAGACCGTACCAGGGTCAGTTCGGCAGTACCCTGGAGAGGAATGACTACAGAGATTAACTTGACCGCCCTTGTACTATATAATCCCAGTCGAGCTGCGTCGCAGAAGGACAGGTGCAAATATTAAGCTGAAACGTCAGTGAAAAGGAGTTTCGATTTTCCATTCCACATTTAGATGATTGGCGGATTAGTCACAACTCATGTTCTCTCATCTGCATTCTTTTCGTCTCCTCCTCATTCTCTCTTTTCTTCTGTTTTTTTTCCTCCCTCTCTCTCTATACTTATATATTATATAGTATATATCAGAACGAGAAAAGGAGATCTCTTTTACTCTGCCTATATTTCTTTGCCTGCACAGGGCTTTCCCTACTTTAACTACTTGTGGACTAATACTAAGTCATATAACTACTATACTCATATATACATTAGCGTTAAAAACCTTCTCTAGCTTCCCACAAACGGAAATCCTTTATTCTCCTAACATGCTCGCATGCGCGATTCGATAGCGCTTCTTTACTAAACGGGGAAGAAAATCATGTATGAAAACGTGCTGAACGAACTAGTTTGCCGTTAATGCTAACAGCGTATCAAACGAATAAAGTGCGAATTTTCGAATATGATGGAATATAAACTGATTTAAGCAAAATGCTACGCAGGATCTTGTAAGACGGAGCTCCGCGAGAAAGAATGATAATGAGAGCGACCGAGAGATAGAAGAAGACAGATAGAGAGAGAGAAGGAAAGGCAGAGAGAGTGTAGGATCGGGAAGAAGCAAGGAAGACGGGGCGGAAGAAAAGTTGGACGAGAGAGGAGTGATGGAAAAAAAAGGAAGAGCGAGGGTGTCCGGTAAATACGTAAAGGGAGGTAGAAAAGAAGATAGAGAGAGTGAGAGAAAGGCTGGGCTAGAGCGCGCGCAAAAGAGATAGAGATAGAGAAATAAAGAGCGGGCGAGAGAGTCAGAGGGAGATAAAGAGAGACCGAGCGAAAGAGGGAGAGTGAGCGAGGAAGTGAGAGAGAGAGAGAGAGAGAGAGAAAGTGCGCGAAAGAGAGAGAGAGAGAGAGAGAGAGAGAGAGATAGAGAGAGAGAGAGAGAGAGCGCGCGAAAGAGAGCGAGAGAGAAGGGAGGGGAGAGATGGTTGCATATACTGTGTAGAAGAAGGAAGAGATAGCGGTCTACAACTAATATAACGTTAAACTATACTGTGTGTAACTCATGTATAACAGCTCGTCGGTACGTAAGAATAGCATGTTTATCTTGCAGTTACCGATATATCTCACATGTGCACTTTTCATATCCTTTCATGTTATTGTTCAGTCGTTGCGATATTGATGTGCTGCGCTTTTGGATCAATTGTATGCGAAAAGGCGCAATATAAACTAGAATGATTGTCTCAGAGAGGGTCTAATAATTCCCCCCCTTCGAGCTGTAATGGTGCCTGTGATATGTGAAAGCCAATCTCACCACAGAGATCACGTGACTATCGGCTTTTAATCGTCGCCACAACAAACAAGAGAGCAGTTATTTTCATCTCTGTGGTGAGATTGATGTGAGAGCTTGTGACGCTCATCTGGGAGCGTGGCCGATGGCAAAGCAGGTGGTATTAATGAACGGACGTCGCGGGGCCTGTGGCTGCATGTATACTGCTGGTTACTATAGACACTTATGACGCAGTAGTGGCTGGACAAGTGCATATGAAATCAACAAACAGATGACAGGAGCCATATGTCATATATGAACAGATGTCATATATTACCAAATGGGTTTATTTACGGAAAACGGCCATAAATCTTTCCGAAAATGTCGGACCCAAAAAATCCATCGCAGGTCGACAACGACCTTGGGTACTGATGAGGTGTACCAGATATGATTGAAATCTGTTCAGTACTTTTCGAGGAGATCTGCGCGCAAGGCTGGTGTCGGACAGACATCCTGACAGACAGACAGACAGAAAGACAGACAGACACACAGACAGACAGACACACAGACAAACAGACAGACAGACAGACACACAGACACACAGACAGACAGACAGACAGACAGACAGACAGACACACAGACACACAGACACACAGACAGACAGACAGACAGACAGACAGACAGACAGACAGACAGACAGACAAACAGAGAGACAGACAGACAGACAGAGAGACAGAGAGACAGACAGACCGACAGACAGGGTGATTCCAGTATAACCCCACCCCTAACTTCGTTGGCGGGGGGTATAATAAATAAAATAATAAGAAGAAGAAGAACAATAATAATAATGATAATGTAAGTAACGTAAGCGTATAGTGGCTACGTCCGTCCTACCTTTGTTCGTGCGGTGATACCACGGCGGGAAGCGGAAGATGAGTCGCTTATCGAGGTAGTGGAAGGGTCGCCTCGATCTGTATCCGTACATCAGTTGTCGATAGTGGCCCGTGTCCGGGTCAGGAAATATCAACCTCTTGTCAGGAACGCCTGCAATGAACAACGTACCGTCAGAGTTCGCAACCTTGTAGTTATATTAACGGTCGGAATACGGATGGCCGGATCCCGGATGACCGCAGAGCGGATGGCTGCTTGTTGAATATTTTATAGGTCGCGAATCGTGAAGTAAAATAAATGTGTTGTGTTTTGTCGTTGAATTGTAATCGGCCCACAGAGTGCTAGAAAGAGCGAGGGTGAGCGCACACGTGCGCGCGAGCGTGCATATGCGTATGCGTGCATATGTCCGTCCGTTCGTGGGTGCAAGATTGCATACGCGAGTGCGCGCGTATGTTCGTACGTGCGTGGGAGTGCATGAAGTTTGTGAGAGTATGCGAGAGAGGATGTCAGAACAGAGAATATGGATATCAGCATGACAGTCGCTAGATTTTAGCGAGAGACGCGAGGGTCACGTTTCAGAGAGGGGAGAATTGGCACATTTCAGCACGATGGGGGAAGGTTACATTTTAGCAAAGCATTAGTTAGATTTCAGCAAGGGACGGGTAATGTTTCAGATAGGGGAAGAGGTCACATTTTAGCGAAAGTCGGAAACGTCACATTTTAGTTAGGCAATCGTCAAGAGATATAGTTCACATTTTAGTAAGAGAGAAGGCTCACATTTAGGCACATTCGAGGATACCTTTCTAATGTAGAAAAATGTCACGTACGTTTCAGCACAAGAGAGAAAGAAGCGAGAAAGAGAGAAACAGAGAGAGAGAGAGAGAGAGAGAGACAGCGCGAGAGAGAGAGAGAAAGAGAGAGAGAGAG